TGAAACTGTAGTCCTGTAAGTCACCTGGGCTCACCTAGACATCCTAGGTCTAGATAGACCTGAGCCATTTCTGCACGGGTACCCCTGACGCTCCTCTCTCTCCCTCGAACAGGGTGTTTGGAGACACAGAAGCAAGAACAATCTCCTGACTGTATTCTCTCTCCCTCACCCCTCACAAATTCAAGTGCTGTTTTTTTTCTGTTCTCTAAAATCCAGCACAACAGCCTTTGAGACGTTTCAGGGAGACATCGGGGGGTGTGAGAAGGGACTGCTGGATCCTCAGGTGTTGCGGCTGCAGTGTCTCCAGTCTCCCTGCAAGAGTGTCTGCTGCAATAACGTAACAATAAATCAATGGACCAGTTAAGATCCAATCACTTCCAATTTGATGGTATCAACTTTTGCAATATCACAGTTTTGCTTTATTTCGCTGTTAATAGAATGGGGGCTGGAACAGCCCCCCCAGACACTTAATAAAATGAGGGAGTATAAATAACCAGGCAGTGAGCGTCGCTTCACAAAGCACTGGCTGAGCAGGAGACTGAGGAGCCTGTTCGCCATCTTCTTATATTGTGATTTCAATTTGTGTGCTCCTGATCTCTTGTGTGTGTCCTGCACACAGCTCTGCCTTGTTCTTCTGCCAGGAAAATAAACAAAATCAATGCAAGGGCTTTACTGTTTCTTTGCCAACTTGCTTACTCTTGACAGTAAAACAGCACCTGGTGCGTTTCTAATTAACTCAGCTACCTCCATGAATCTTTTATTTTTCATGACAAACAAGCCAAAAGCAAGACACGGGATAACAAAAGAGTCCAGAGAAATAACATCTTTATGTATGAAGAGCAGAGAAAACTGTTTTTGACCTCAAGTTTGAAATATTGCCATTAACCAAGTGAAGGCTGCTGTTGGTGTTCCCTGCCAGCCTCGTCTTCTTGCATAACTCATTGTTGACTTACAGAACCACTGCTTTCACTGGGGGTTTAGATTCGCCTGCTTGTAGGAAGTGGCACACAAAGAAGTGTTTGCAGGTTCCATTCCAAGTTGGCCTTGTTCCAATGGAATAGGAAGGTATTTTTTTTAAAACAACAGCTGTTTTGTGGTTGTGATGTACTTACGTCACATCATATCCATTACTGACAGATCGCTATGAATCAAGTAGCCCCTGTGTGCTGTGTGGAATTCCTGGCCATTACAGGACTTTTTTCATTGATAAAATTGCATTACAGTACATTGGTAATAACTGGATTACTTTCCATTCATATAGTGCCTTTCAGTTGTTTCCAAAATACTTTACAGGCATCAGGGGTGTTTGGTCCACCCATCCCCAAATGGCTGCACCAAACAGGGTGATGAGGCAGACGTTTCATTCTAGAAGCTCAGCTGCACTTCGCTCACTCTGCTTTTTGTTCTGAGCAGCAAGATGTACTGTCAGCAAAACCATCAGAGACAACTCTGCAGAAGTGAGGTTGCAGGCAGGTTGTTTGTAGTCAGGGAAGCCGATGTTCCTGTCTGTTGCCTGGCATGCCATGGCGAACTGGACCACTCCTTGCTGCTGAGAGAGCTCTCTCCACTGGCTCGCTCACTGCTGACTACCAGATGCATTGAACAGGATTGCCAGCGTTTGTTTTCTGCTGCTCAAGAACTGTTTAATGAGAGCCGAGGGAGTTCTGGAGGGGGCAGAGATGCTGAGGAAGAAGAAATAAAAAAGAAGAAGGAGCAGGAAAATGCAACAACCTGAGTATGAAATATTGATAATCTCTGAGTGTGGACGGAGTGGTCTTGGTTTTTTTTCCAGAGCTGAGTTGAGAAAGGTTGTGAAAATGCACAAAAAAAATGTACAACTTGCTTACCTAATTGCAGGCCTGTGAACAAAGAGAACACATGCACAGACATACAAGCCTATGCTTCTATGATGGATCTTGGTTCTAAATATTAAAAATGTGTCAGATGCTTCACTATTTTGAATTAGTGAAAGAATGAGTCTTATATGTAAGGATATGAACCTTATACTGTATGTAGGTTCATGCAGGCAATGGACAAAATACAGCTTAATGCCATTTTTAATTAGCTTTATATTTATTCTTCTCCTGGCAGGAGCAGTCCTCAACAGAGGCATTTGGGAGCAAACAAAGCAATAAACGAATAAATAAAATAAGAAGTCACCAGAAAATGACTGCAATAACCGGAGATTGCAATAACCTCAACAAGACGTTTTCAATAGGCATTAAAACATGGCAAATTGGTATGGGAATCAGTTATATTTGGACATAGTTATTGTGAAAATTTGTCTTTTTTTATTAATCTGGACTTTGTTTCACCTATCTGTTTGGGAACCGGTAAGAAATGAACACAGTAGGATCTGTTGACTCCCGGTAACTATTTTTGGCTTGTGTCTTCCCATCTGGCCTTTAGGGAAACAGCATCAGAAACAAAAGCAACCTACCCTCAGCTTGCAACCACAAAGCCTCATTCAGCTGCCCAAGAGACCACGTCCTACTGAAAGACTCTTCCCTGTTTGCACAGTGATGTGAATGCAGTTTGGGAAGTGGGTCTGTCATGTTGTAGCATCGCAGCTCCAGGATCTGCAGCTATGGGTTAAAGGATTTTCCAAGAATCACAGACAGTTTTTCAAATCGTTGCAACTAAAATGATAAGATGTGTTGATCTGTTTTAAGGACATTAAACCAAAAGTATCCAGTGCCAGCAGCTCTGCAAGAGGGCTGTCTGGGGCTTTTCTTTTAAAAGAAACATGGATTATTTTCTCCAAAAGTAGAAGAACAGGATGTGCCTCTCAGGCAGGTTTGGATGTTATTTCTACTTGTTGAATTCTGCATGATGAAAACCTCTAGCTTCCTAGTTAAAACCCCCCGCGTACCGTTGAAGCCTCGTTAATAGAGTAGCCACATGCGAAGGGCATCAATTGGATTTGCATAAAATACATACAGCTTTGTTGCAGGGGGGCAGCTTTCCTTATAGATTGTTCTCACGCCATGTTGGACAAGCAAACCTGATGTTGTGTTTGTGCAGTAATCTCACCTGAAGCAACGAGGCACTGTGGTGCAAGCAGAGGTGACCTGCAGCCTGCAGCACCTCATCTCAGCGCAGGACAGAAAGTGATGTCAGTACTGGTGTGACCCCGGAAGGGGACGGACCCCGCAGTTACACCACTGTCATACTGGATTTCATGAGACACCCAGTTTTCCCTTGTAAAAAGTTCCCTTGTTTTCCCTTGCAAACGTCATATGTACATGTTGTAACAAGCAGAAAAAAGAAAAAAAAGAAACAGATCAAAGCCTCAGCTGTGGTCCCACTAGCTGAGCTGAGGAGAAACCATGGGTCCTAACTGACTACTGTATAAAGCAATCTTAAGTGAACTATTGTTCATCAGGGAGGAAATACTGTACCAATACCCTGAATCTAATCATCTATGTGAAAAAACAACAAAAAAGAAAGACTGTAAGGACTCGTAAGGGTCTCCTAAATAAGAATCCTTTAATGAATACAGAAGAGAGGTGTAAATAACAGATTATTGTTTTGTTCACCAATTGGAACAAAGAAAACAAGAATACGATCAGCATGGCAGATAGGAATTGCTTTTTTATTTTTCCAATAACTCGTTTTTTAATGTGAACAACACAGATTACTGGTAAGCAGTTTTCGACCACAGAAAGTGACCTCAGGGCTGTAGGCTGAGGGAGGGTTTGTAGTAATAGCCTCCTTGGATCGAAAGGGAGAGCACTCGCGTTGAGGGGAGAAAAGGCTCACATCAGTACTGAATAAACCAGGAATCAATCAAGTTTATTTATCAAATGCACAACAATACAGCGTGCAGCAGTGGTTGCTGGCAATGAAATGTCTTTCCAAAGCCCGGAATTAAAATAGCTGCATCCTCTGTCTAAACAGTGAAGGTCATAAATTAAGGAAGGTTAACATCAAGAGAAGAACATTCCGCCATTCCAGCCTGCTTGATAGGTAGTGGGTAATTGATCTGAGCATCTCATCCAGCTGTTGAATGGCATTACCAACATGGCTGGGTAGCTTGTTCCACACTCCTGCAAACCTGAGCAAAGGAGTACCCCCTGATTTAAATGTGCTTCCAAGTAGTTTCCATTTGTGACCTCCAAATTCAAATAAAACCAAAAAATACACTATTGTATCTGGTGGGACCAGTTCACACTGAACAAACAAAGCTGACACCAGGCCTGAGCAAAGGCTTAGTGTCAACACTGTGCTGCGTGTATTTGCATAGCCCTGATTCTGCCAGGACCTCAGTCCCAGTGTTGCCTGAGCTGGGAAGCTAGCCAAGCCTGCACCCTGATTGTCTCATATCCTACAAAGGTGCAATGAAATGCAGCTGAAATCTCACTAATTTTGACTCTATTGTGCTCTGCCAGGAATGCCTCTGTGTGTTTAAATGGAACATACCTATTTTTGTTTCTTCATGGCCTAAATATATACTGAACACTTGCTTTGGCCTTGCCTTGCTGTCCCAATCAGTATCTTGTATCAGTATCCTCTTAATCCTCTTGGTTGTAGTATGATCTTACTAATCTTTTGCTGCATTTTACTGTCTTTGGTGTACTACAGTAAACTCTGAGAAAGAATGTCGAAAGCAGTGATTTTTTATCTTCACCCCTGCATTTAAAATTAGACAGTCCTAGATTTGTGCTAATTAACCTCCCGGAGCATCGTAGAGAAGCACTTTAGTGTGCAAGTTGCAAATTCCACGAGTAATGAATTTTAATACACCAGTCACACACTGGTGTGCATGCATATTGACTTTTGTGCTTAATTTATTTCTTTGTGTTTCTTCTATTTATTTCTAAGTGTTTTTTACTTTAACATAATTCAACCTCGAAAGCATGATTAGAGCTCATGAATGAATCATGTTTGACCAAGATGGAATTTTATTTGCAAATAAATGTTCTTTAATTTTTCTTGATACAGCATTTATGAACAGACATGAAAGCAGCTTCTCACAATGTGTTTGTGTTTCCCTACAGCTTCAAGGGGTTTCTTTGTGCGGGCAGAAGGCAGAAGCTGTTCGGCACAAGCGACACATTTGAGAGGGCATGGGGGACCTCGCCCTGGTGATCAATCAGTAAGTCCTGCAGAGTCCACTGATCACTTCGTAGTAACTCTCAGCTCATACAGGCACTGCAAGATTATTGTTATGAAATCTTTCACAACTGCATTCTCCAACAAACAAAATGGCAATTCAAAGCTCTTTTTCATATAAACGTTTCTGTTTGTTTGATCTTAAGATCTGAACCAAAGAAAGCTTTCACAGAGACTGCAAAATAATAATTCCTTGTGACCATGAAAGCATTTTTTGTTGCTCATTGCTCTGGGTGAATTTGTGCACAAAGCACGGGCATAAACAACTTAATTTGCTTAGTTGCGCTCAAGCCAGGAAGATACTGTGTAAATGAGGAATACAAGAGTCTCACTGTGATTTATTTATGGCTCAGTAATAATGCATAGCTGTGACATTTTTGACGTAGCCATGGTAAACGGTGGTTTTATGAATTATATATCAGTGTGTTAGTGCGATCCTTGCGTCGGCAGGCTAGAGTGGCCCCTTTTCTTCATTAGCTGTAGTCCAGCTGCACACCTTTCCCAGGTATGCAGCTGACCTTGTGTCTGGCAATAAAGACATGAATGTCTCAACACACAGTGTTTTCTATTTGCCTCAGCCATCAGAAAAGATCACAGAGTATGCAAGGCACCAAAACATGAAATGCACCATCCAGGAAAGAAAATACTTTATATTTTCAGTGCTATTACTGCTCACTAAATTGGCAGTCAAAAAAAAGAAAGTTATTTGCCTGCACGCACAAGGGTAAGTTAAATCAATGGTGCCCGATCCTGTTCCTGGAGAAATGGTATGTCATCGTATTTGATATTGCTTATATATATAACTTTAGCAGCAGAATCTACAGTTATTGAAATGTTATACTGGCCCTCCAGAACCAGGACTAAACCAGATTCAGCAGAACCAGGACCTGCACTAAAGGGTTAATCATACAACCAGGCAGTACTCCTGATCTTGGTCAGTTTGCATGTTATTTTTGTAGTTTCCCAATGGTCTTCTCATCCTCCTGTCACATATTTACTTTGTAATGGATTGGTAGCTTGAATCCTGTGTTATCACCTGTAACATGCTTTTCCCAGGCTTCCCTACTCTAGCCTGTGATTGTATCGCTATCCAATATTTGGAAAAGCAGTTATTGTGTGTTATAGTTCAGGTGGGTAGCCATGGCTATGGCCATGCCCACTCTAATCTCTCCGTCTGTGTTCTCAAAGACCGTTTTCTGAACTCATACATCAGAAAGACTACAGAAACCCAAATTATCCTGCAGCTAGGATCACACCTTCCCCCTTCTCTTAACAACAGACTACTTTTCTTCTAAATTTTCTCCATTCATTGAAGGTTTCATTTCACACTTCTCTACACCTATCCTGACTTCACACCTCTTGATTGGCCTCTCTTTCTGTCCCCTGCTCCCGCCTCTCGCTCCTCCTCTCTCCCAGCCTTTGTTCTCCTGCTACATTACCTTTGCTTACTGCCCTGTCTCTCACACCTGAAGAAGGCTTCACGGCCGAAATGTGTTTTCTTTCTTCTTTTTTTCAGCATGGAATAAACCTATGGCTTGTTCCTATTGTGTGTTCTACTCCCTGACTGCTCGCACTTGGGCGTTTTGTCAGACAGGAGCCTCTTGCAATGATCTGGCACTTCTCATTCGAAATGAGTTACATGGCCTGCGTCAGTGTAGACCTCATTGATCATTGCTTTCAGAGAGAATTTAATAGCAATCTGAACGTACAGGCCTTGATTCATTGTAATATAAAGAGCAGGCTCATGTACATACACACACTTCTCTGCTGTAACCCTCTTGTCTTTAAAGTCAAGTAGATGTGAAGAGCTCTTCACAGTCTGCTTGTCTTTTCTGCGCAAGTGTTTTTGGAGAGGAGTAGTTAGAATGCTCCAGGCTCTTTCTCACGTGATGATAATATTCATTTTAACTACTCAGACACTCCCTGCAATTTAGTGTTGGTTCTGGGGAGGGGCTGCTCCAGATGTGAAATGTATATCCCCCCCCCCACACTAGTTTTTGGAAAGTTACCCCTCAAGTCAAAAGCGGCAGGTGAATTGAGAGAAAACCGAGTAATGGAGGCGATAAATTATTTCTTATTTCTTATTTTCACTTCAGATTTCTTGAGGAGAATCAGCAAGTTTTGCGTTGAAAAAAGCATCTTTGTAAGACATCCTGTGACTTTTAATTGTGTGATTGAATTAAGAGCCTCAATTACCGTTCCTAACAGAAATCACTTCTAAATTCTAAAAGCAAAACAGCTTTTGCTTGTCCATATAGCTGGCACATCTCCCCTTATGCCTCAGTTAAGTGTTCTAAGTTAAGGAATCTAAATTAAGGAACTAAACAACACCTTAATAAGGCCTTTCTCCTGTAACGTACAATGGAACTTACTAATTTACCTGCAAAAGTAGTTGTTGGAATAATACACATATACAGTATATATATACAGTATATCACTTGAGAGGCTTTTCTCTGCAAAGGAATATGTCCCAAAATAACCTTGATTATTGTTTATTATCACAATTATGAGTTGCTTAGAAGTTTCAACGCATTCAGATTAATAATATTGGAAATTCTCATTATAAGTCTTCTTTTGTCATACTGTTAGACGTGCTGTTGTGTGCATTGATGGCATATTTATTTTGGCACAAGTAAAAGCTTGTTTGCAACCCTCAGAACTTAAATATTGCGTCTTTGGATATTAAGGTTTTCCTTCTTCGTTTTTTCTAACTGATTTTAAGGCAGCGAATGAAGCCTGCCTTTTCTGAGTGCACTCCTCTCTGTCAGATCTTGCCTACGAAAGGGTTGCAGCACTGCATGAAATCGAAAAAATCATTCTTCCCTGCTCGATAACTGCCAGTGAACCTGCAGAGTTTTAAATCCCAGCACTGAGCCAAACAAAAAACAGAACATTGTAAACTGAGCATTAAGCATGGTTGACCCAGAGATGTAGAGCAGAGTAGCAAGGTGATATCGAAGTCAATCGTTAATAATAGACATTAAGAAAGGCTCTTCTTGGAGTCATAGATTCACGCTGTTGTAAATTCACAGCCACAGTGAGATTAATACACCCCCTATTTACAACTGTGTCTGATAACCCATTACCAAGGATGGGAACTCTCTCACTTTCCTTGGCAACTATCGGCTCCTCACTATTGATCTGCACCGTTTAAAAGATACTGTACGTTAGTAATGTGCCATGCCTGTTGTAAACCCTATTTCTTTACAAGGCAAACACTTTGCCAGCAGTGCCAGTAATAATGCCCACAAGTTTGTAATAAAGTCAGATCGAGTGCCACTTCTTACTTTTTTTTTAACTCACCGTACACTTGACACATTCCAGTGTGATATATCAATGGCTGCCATGTGCTCACGATGTGCTCACAGTCACTTGACCTTGGACTTTTGGTCTTGCTCTTTGACTGTAACCCCCACCCAGAAAGAGACTTGTCCCCGTTTCACTTGTCTGTCTGTTAGCAGGTTCCAGGACAGGGATCAGTGTTGCTGTCAATCCCCTTGTTAGGCAAAGTAAGAAATACAGGTGAAGAATAAGAGAGGGTAGGGAGCCTGGTTTGAAATATCACTTCCTTCCCATTTTCTGGCTACTAAACATTGAGGTGGTTTCTGAAAAGTTGTCTGAGGATGCGGTGACATCTGTGGTCAGATCTGCCAAGGATACACCTTAAGTGTGCTTGTATTGGAGGTGATAAAGCACACAGCTAGAGACTGAGCTACTCAGAAGAAAGAGAAACCCCTGTACACAGTCAGAACTCATCTGGAATTTGCTGCAATGATCTGAAAATCCTTGGAACAGAGCTCCTCACAAATCTGAGTCTCGATCAGACAAACACCTTAGAGAGATGGCTATGAGGGAAAAGCAGTTATGACCTCTCAGCCTGTATCTGTGCTCTGCCAGTTGTTGTACTGCCTTTGCAAATGAGGACAAGCTCATTCTGAGCATCTGAACACAGGAAAACAGAATTAGAAACAAAAAAAAACCCTTCAGTTTGTTAAGCGTGTAAACGACAGAAGAGAGTACAGAGTGATCTCCACCAAGTCCTCTTTATTTAGCTAATTTCCTGGGGGTAGAAAACAAATGCTGCATACTTTGGAAAACAAGCAATGTGTTTGTACTCTCTAAAGCCTCAAGTTATCTGCTGGCAGCCTAACTTCCTGCATATCAGATGATGAGATCAGGTCTAGGAGGTTAAACTCTGTCCTTCCACAAGAAACAGGGACCTGGATTATCAGGGAGAGAAAGCGAGAGTGTGGAGAGGGAGAGACAGGAAGATGGAATGGAAATGCTGGGTAGAATTTTCCGTTCTTTTGTCTCAACTGGGCTTCACAGTCCAACAATTACATTTCCTTACTTCTAAATGAGTTATCATTCCAACAACAGGGGGTCGTGCAACTGAGCAGAAGGGAACAAGTTGAGGATTGCATGTCAGCATTTGTCACACCTCTGTGTTCTCAAAAATGTATGTATTTTTAGTTAAAGAATGACCAATTAATGTACCACTGAGCCAGTGTACAGTATGTGGGACGGGAACACCAAAGCATTTTCAGTCCATTTGAATCTCAGAGAGATTTTGTTACTAAACCAAGAGAGCCCTGTTATTTCTCTTCTTCCTTGTACCCTGCAATGAGCTTGTCATTAAGGCCAACATGACTCACACTGAAGCTACACAGCTTTGAAGAGGTTAGGGTTGGAGGACTGTGGGAGCAAAGAGTGCTGTGTATTATTTTCAGGTGAATGTCTTGTTTAACCGTATGAGCGCTTGTGTTGTGGTTTACTTTGCATACAGCTGCAGGTTAGTGTGTAACTTTTGTAATGATCAGCGTGCACCTGTGCCAAGGTTGGACAAATGTTTAATTTTTTTTTGCTAAGTGTTTTATCTTTTCAGTGCAGAAACACAATTCTTTGTTGACCTTTTAGTCATTTCCTATGAAGCTATTATGAACAGAATTTTGAAAAGTTCATCCTGATCTTGCTTTTCTAGTA